TGAGCCTACGGCAGAATGATAAAGTGATTGAATTATATACTTTCTTCGGCGAAGGATTAAAGAGGCCGGAAGTTGAGGAAAGAAAATATGAAACGGTAAATATAAGCAGCGACCCTAGTAGCACGAAACATTAGTAACATGTTGACTGAATATTGAATGTATTGGGAATGTCTTGGTCAATATTTCCCAATGCAAAGTTAATACTGGTCATTAATAAAATGTAGGTATAATGCCAATATTAGCTCAAAAGACCGTCTACTTTACAATATTGGATCAATATGAGAAATTAGTCTATACTCAACATAAAAATTGGATATATATTGTTAGCCAATATTGCTGCAATAAAGTTGTGCTACTAGAGAGTATGAATATGCGTTGCTCAATCAAATTGGAAGTGTTGCTTACTGTCAAACCGGAGTGTCAAAATTCCCTCTTTTTTTTAATTGTAAATGTTTGTCTTAATATTTCAAAATTTTCGTTGAACAAATAGCCGTGGAATTCGATCGCTTCTAATTTTCTTTGAAACACTCGTTCAGCTCGGTCTAAACAACGTTACTATTTTAATTTTCGTTTACCGTTACACGGACTTTTTCCTACATATTTTCAACCAAATGTGCCTCCCTGCAGAAAAATAATAAGATAACTGTTTTTTAGTTGCTCTTCTCAAACGTTTCTCAAAGACTTAGGGTCATGGCACACAAAAAAACTTAAGCAGTAGAACGTTAGCAGTAAGTGAATCAACAGTTTAGATTTGCTACCGCTTACGTTATACCTTAAATTTTTTTGTGTGCCATGACCTTTATAATAAGTCAAAGTAGCTCCATCCTTCACAATTATGCAATTATTCTCTTTAAATTCTTAATTCAGTGTCGCAATATTCATAAACCGCGCTTTCCGCGATTTTGCTGCAACAGCAGAATTGTTTTTCTCCGTGCGCTCATAGTTTTTAGAAAAACTTGAAAAATTCTTTGGCATTAAAATTTTTGTAACAATTAGACATCTTTTTTTGTAAAAAAGTAATGCAAAATATTAAAAAAAAACCTATATGTATTTTCGTAATATAACGAGATATTATCGCCATATATATATTTGTCTTGCTTTCAAGTTCTTCCGACTTTTACTACGGGCCATTATTTTTCTTCTTTTTTGAGAGTGAATATTCGTTATCTGACGATTACCCACGAGAAACGAAACAAATTCGCGCACGCGCGACTGCCAAATTTCCCATGTTGGCCGACGTCGACGTCGACGTCGACGTCGAGACGCTACTTTAATCAATATATCGAATGACGTCACGCAAGAGGTTTATCACCTGCCCGCTTCGTTGTTCTACGTGGTGCGGCCACGCAATTGAGATTCCCCTTTTCTATACCTCCTTTCCGCGGTGGGGTTGCGTTTTAATTCTTTCTCTCGGTTCCTCGCTCCATTAACTGAACGTCGCGCGATCCGGAAAAACGCTGCAGATCTCCCATCGAACGTGAGCTTCCTCTCGCTCACGTATTCTTTCTCGCGGAGAAATTCGCGGCGATTGCGCGTTAAACGCGTCGCCTCTCTCCCCCTCTCCCTCCCCCCCCTCTCTCTCTTCTTTCTCTCTTTCTCCTTTTTTTCTTCCTATCTTTCACGCGATACTCGCGCGCCTGTAGCCAGGCGCGATACTCGCCGCTCGGATGGATTCAGTGGTCGTACAATCCACGTTACGAGCTCCTCCACTTCCTGTCGGACGGATCCGCCGCGGCGTTGTAGCGCCGTGTAACGGCGTGCTCAACCCCCGCGGTTGCTACCGTCACCGGGGAGGTGAGGAAGGAGCCTCCTTTCGTTCTTCTCTTCATCTTTTCCCCTCTCTTTTTTCCCTACGTCGATTTCCTCATCGTCCGCGCCGTGTGTCTGTGAACCGACCGCCATCGCCTCCTCTTCTGCCGCCTCGCCTCCGCCGTCGTCACCGCCGCCACCACCGCCACCACCGCCGTCACGAAGATCGTAGTAGCGTCGCGTACCTCGAGTAGCCGAGTTCAGTCGAGCGTCCAGTATTCCCGAACCCGCGAATGCGGAGTACGAATACCTGGACGTACCTCGCCGGCCGCCTATCGTCACGATGCTACTACTCGCGGTGATCGGGCTCCTCGTCCTCGCCGGCACGACCACCGCCGAGGTCTTTACCAACACGTTCCTGGTGAGGATGCGGCAGCCAGCGGAGCGGCACATAGCCGATCGCGTGGCGCTGAGGAACGGCTTCATCAATCTCGGACCGGTAAGTCCGACGGGATCGGCGCGCTTCAGGCACGCCGATTTTTTAAATATAAATCTCGGGAGAATACTCCAGGTAACGAAAGAACGTTACCTGGAATATCATTTCTCGAGAACACACAATTTCCTCAGCTCTACTCTATATATATACACACTTCACATTTTTCCTCTCCCCTTCTCTCTTCCTTCCAGGTTTTCGTCCTTTCTTCATCGCAGCTGGTTACCTAACTCGTTCCGAACGTAAAAACTGTAACGCGGTAGATCAGGCAAAATTTGAGGAAACGGACTTCACACTCTCCTCGCTTTGATCCATGTTTCGTCAAACCGCGCGAACGAAACGATCCAGGTGGACGGCGAATCGGGCAAATCACGCGGCGAACGCGGATCTTGTTGACGCGGTCGACGTAACGATCGGATCGCGCGGGCGACCGCGGACGTCTCTTCGAAGTCGCCCCTCACTTTCTCGCGTATGGCGTCTACTCGCGTCGCGTTCGACTCGCGAGAAATGGCACGCGAGCGTTTTTGATTCAAGTGTGAATTTGTTTTGTTTCTCGAGGATAATCGCCGAATAACAAACCACCGTTCATCTTTTAAAAAGAAAAAAAAATAATAATGCCTCTCGTTTCAGCTCGTGCGCCATGTCTGTCGTGAACTTCGCCGTCCGTCGTTGTTAAAACGGGTATCCATTATGTACGGTTGAACTACTGGGTTCGCCAATAAATGTCACGAAAACGAGATGTCCGTGGATAGCGATGCGCGCCCAATACATGCTTCGCAATTATTTACAGCCGATATGAATATCGACGAATATTGCGAATTCCGAGGGAACAATAAACTGTTTCGCGTGTTTCCCAACTCGTTTAATACTCGTTTAATACTCGATTAATTAGTAATAAGGGAAACGATATATAGGGTGGGGGGGGGGGAAACAGGGATTAGGGCAGAATAAATATTTCTTTTATATCCTTGTGCTACGGCGAACGCTGAAACCGCTGATTCCATTGCAGCACGTTCAATTACTCCGCAGATTGCATTATATTAATGGTCGTATTTTCCAGCATGCCGCCCGATAGAACGTTCATTGGCATCTCGTGCCAATTGATATCATCAAGGTAGCTCCCCGCCACTCCTCCCTCATCCTTTTGTATTCTCCAAATACCTCGGTTTAATACCGGAAACAGACATTAAACAGACAATTTTGATTATGAATTTAATTCTCGCTCTAACATCGATTATTGTACAAATGAGCAACATAATCACTCTCTCTCTCTCTCTCTCTCTCTCTCTCTCTCTCTCTCTCTTTCTCAATATATAAATAAAAAACTAAAATAACATGCGCGTGAGCAAATGTGTCTCTCTCTCAGATTTTCCAGTAGTTAATTCTTTAACTGCGAGTGACACATATGCGCGAAAGTCGCGGATATTTGCAGCAGGAGCAGGTAAATTTTTAAGTGGGGTAATCGATCGAGACGTTTCGCATTCACGGCATCGCTAGCCTCCGTCCAAATATGGAGACCTGGATGGTGCATGCCGCGGTGCGCGGCATTCCTGAATAGTTTGCTTGTTTAATTAAAAAGAAAAAGGAGAACAAATGTTGTCGCGCCCTGTCGCTCTCTAGGAATTAAATATTTCGTATGTCGACTCTGCTCCTGTCGCGCTGCACCGCCGTGACGCCACGCTACGCGTCAGATTCAGCGTCACGTACGTCCGCCCGCAGTTTGATGTACTCTACTGATTGCCGGACCAATGTGCCGCACTGTGAACCACTAGTAAGCTCGGTCGTTCGCACCCTCGCCTCGGTCGTCCTACCCCAGCGTTGGTGCGCAAAAGCTACACAAGGTTGTTTAATTACAAAAACATATAATATTAAAAACATTAATAATTATAGAAATATTATAATATAATAATATAATATTATAGAAACATTATAGTATGATAATATAATATTAATATAATAATATGATATTATAGAAACATCATAGTATAATAATGTAATATTAAAAACGATAAATATGTATAAAAGGTCAGATTTCACCGATTTTATCGCTACAGGGGAGTCTTTCTGAGTAATTCTACGCAAGAAAAAAGTGGGGGACGGCATTGGTTTAAAAGATATAGCAAATTAAAGTTTCACAATTTTAATACTTTTTTTTAGGTATTATAAAGTAACATTAGTTCTAAGAGAAGTAATTTGCTGATATAATTGCACGCGTGTAGACAGGGGAGAGACAGTAGCCCCTCCTCTGCAAGTAGGGGTGAGTAGGGGTGGACTTGGGTTTGCGTGGAAAGTTAAAAACCCGTTTTTTCTTCTTTCATCGCTTCGTATGGAAATGCTTAATATTTGTAACAGAAATAATTTGTTAAATCAGAGAAGAGTTAGTATATTGAAAATTAGATATACAATATATTTTATATTTTAAGAAGTATAAATACAAAGTATTTTCGGCTTTAACAATGGCAAAAGCATAAATTGTTGTTTTTCAGTATTGTACGGTTCCACGTGAGTTTGCAACTTTTCACGCGAACCGAGATCCACCGCTACCCACCTCCGTCTACATGTGTATACTCTCTATACACACATATATTAGCAAATTACTTTTTTTAGCATTGAAATTATAAAACTTGCTATATCTTCTAAATCAATGTCGTCCCCCACTATTTTCTTACGTAAAATTACTCAGAAAGACCTCCCCTATAACATATTTAGGTGGCGATAAAATGAGGTCCGACCTTTTATGCATATTTACCTTAAAAACATAATATTATATTTTTACAATTAAATAATATACTTAATATACTTGATATACTTCGTGTACTCCATATACTTTATATACTTTATATACTTTATATAATTTACATTTTGGTAGCTTTACATCTTAAAGCAAATATACGTCTTGATCGATAAAATGTTCAACTTAATATTTATTACATTTTTTTATAATGGAATATATATCGAATATTTTATCGCACGGTCGAAACGCGCTTATATCACGGTTCTGCAATTAGATATCTTCGTATATAGCAGTCTTCGGAGCATATCCCAGCGCGGGGTAGCGCAGACACTCGAGTTTGCTTATAAAAAAAATATTGCGATGGGGAGATAGGTGAAAACGAGGTGCTCAAACATTTTTCTTCAAACATTTTGTTTCCGCAATGGGAAAGGTAAACCGCGGTTTGACACGAACAAAACCATCCTCACGTTTTCTTCGACTATCGATATAGTTTACGTTTATGAGCGGCAAAAAGAAGAAGATCCAAGTTGCGCGGGTGAGTTCGTGAATAATCGGCAAGAAAGAGGAGTGCAAGCGTTATAGTCGAGACATTTATTTAATCTTATATTATTTATAGAGAGTTCTTCGTCTTTTTATAAGAGCTGCCTTTATAACTTATCGAGTGGAAGTTTTTTAAATGAAGACTGCCGTCGTGTTTTCCCACGGCAAGAATTTTTCTTTTTAATCTGAGAAAAGTTTCTTATACTGCACATATTGCACAAAAATTCTACAGCAATACGTAAATAAAAAGGGTAAAGATAATTGTGGTTTAGTTATAATTTTCTTTGCAATATCGATTACGTTAAGGGATTAATAATAAACGCAGTTTTTTGATCACGCTAATATAATAGCTCGCATAAATCAAACCTAGTTAACGCAAGCATCCATTGGCGAAGTTTAATTGAACTACGGTAGCCTAGTCTGCATCGAAACGAGGTATAAAGTTTTACTACGAGATCAATACCCGAGAAAATGGGACTGGTTTAAAAAATCACAACACGTGATTCTCGACGCATGTACACAAAGTATAATTATTAACGATACGAGCGAGAAGATGATGGTCTTAGATTTGAATAAAATTTTATTATCTTGCGATATAAATTGCTGTCTCAACGATTTTCACAAGTGAAAAGTACGAAATGTGTTCCGTTTAAAAGAATAACAGAAAATAAATAAAATCGCTGAATAAATATATGTAAAATAATAAAATAAAAATTTATCTCTATTCCTTTTAACGGAACATTGTATTTTTACTTACATTTTCTTATTCTCATTGTTAAAATGAGTTAAGATAAAATGATTCTTTATTGTTACAAGCGTAGAGAACAGAAAAAAACAAGATTGCTTTCTCGATTTGTTGGCGTAATTTTCTCTCGCGTAAGCGGATTTTACTTCCAACCTGTTTCTTTTTTTTAATGTAAATCACTCGGTTTGCGGTGGTATCACCGATAATCGGCCACGCGATATTAGATAAATGTTTCTGATGCAACTTTACCAATGTAGGAGGAAATTGATATCCTGTAAGCTCTATTTACCGGCGTAGTGACGTAGTTTCTTCCGGTTAAAACTGTTTCCTGGCTGTCTCGTATGATTAACCGCCGTGGGACATGGAGGCTAAATTATCGTTCGGATCGATCGCTTCCATCGCGATGCGATTAATTCTACTATGTTTGGCAGTGACTGATTTTGTGTTGCACAAGCTTAGGCAGCGATTGATACGATCGATTAAGAGGATCTTCCCGCAAGTTTAACAAGTTGTCGAACAGCTATCATTGTTGTTCATCGAATTGTACCGCGGCATTAATTTCGCGTGCCGATAGTCGCAAGAGCATAGTGACGAACACACGCAACATTTTGAATATTTATGAAAAGGAAAAAGAAACGGTACGAAATCCGAGAACGGCTTTCTATTTTAGAGTGAAGGAAAACAATTCTAACTTTCGTTCTCGGCTTTTTTTTCCGCTAATGCAATATTATTGATGATAAGCTGCTGCAACGAGGATTTATTTATTACGTAAACAATTTACGTGCCGAGACAATCCTCGCTATTTACACAGCGGCCTAATATGAAAACTAATTATTTTATCTCAATCGCACACTCTCTTTATTTAGCAATGTAGGCGTATCGGGAAGTCGGATTAAAGATATTTAGAGAAAAAGCGACCAGTTTTAATCTACGTATTACTCTCGAATTTCCGCTGCGAGAGATCTCGTTTGCTTTTTCTCTCTTTTCTTCCAGACATAAAATTTCCTCATTCTCCGTCTCTGCACGTAGTATCATGTCGTCATTCGCGTACATTCGATTTTCAATCCGCCGGTGAACGGAATTCATAATATTCTCGTCAAGAGAAGAAAGAGAAAGAAAGAGGGGACTATATTGTAAAGAGAGAATTACATGATATATAAATAGAATTATACAGAATATATACATTATGTTAAACTGTTACGTTCCTTTATATAAAAGATATTTGCAACCATAGGTAAGCTACATAATAATCGTGAAATGAATGAACAGAATTGAATTAGCATATATATTTATACTTTATATACAGAGTGGCACACATAAAACCGTCTCCAAATAATTTTTTGTAATTGTATTTTGCAACTGTATTTTGCGTTTGGGGTCGATTTTATGTGCGCCATTCTGTACAAGTCCGAATAAAATATTTTTTCCTTCCTATAACTTATAAAAATTTCACATCGAAGAAGCATATATAATAAAGCGTAAAAAAAAAGAGAGATTTCTCCCATCTTCGATAAAGCGCGCGAAATATTCCGTTCTAATGAAAACATTGATTTGACTGGTTTTAAAAATCAACTTATTCCAATTTTTTTTTATTCCGAAAAGAATTGAACTATTATAAAGTTTCGCGTATAGGGTAACTCCGGTAATATATACGCCGCACCTAAGGAAAACTTAATTTATTGAGTACTATTTAATATGTTTAAAGGCAAATGAATTATATCAATAAAAACTTTATACTGTCTACTACAAATTATACAACTAAAAAATTAAAAAAAAAAATAGATGCATTAAAGATTATTGTTATATAATCCAAAAAAAAAGGAAAAAGAACACATAGGAGATTTCGATTTTTGCAGAGTGTTTTGTACTCTGGCATAAATCCCGCTCGCTAAAAATGCCATATATCCTAAACAGGTGGGATATACAAGATATCAAGCTAAACAAAGAATACAAGAGCTATGCACTTGTATTTTGCTGTATTCCATCCTTTACTATCTCTTATTATGTATCATGAAATAGCCATTAAACCTTTTACACTCTTTACAGTAATCATTTTACGTAGGTCGTAATATATGATCGCGCTACTCACTATATTGAAAAATCGATTCAACTTACGACGGTTTCGTTAATATTAACAGTAAAGAACTGAAATTACAACATAATATTACACTGAGAAAAAAAACTGTTGCTTCAATTAAAGTGCTATCACGGGGTACCAAAAACATAAGTAGTTTATTCAATTGTACTATTATTAGATCCAATATCTGGATTATTAAACCAATAATTAAATTTGGCACCCCGTGATAGCATTTTAATTGAAGCAACAGCTTTTTTTCTCAGTGTAATGTGGGATAAAGGCACATATAACAGAATAATTACGAGCAAATTCCTTCATTCCTTCTATTTTTTCTGACGGCGTAAATACAGGAGTTACCCTATATCCTTTGTTGGGATATAAGGAGTAAGAATAAAAATCTTTTGAAGGTATTGGACAGCCGGACGGAGTATCATTTCGTACATAGAGCTTTGCCGCATGTACGAAGCAAACGGTCTGTGCCGCACACGCGAAAATTAAAGGTCGACCCTCTGGTAAGTTGATATCTTGCGACAGACTGCGACACCTACGCAACAATTATCATTATAAAGATAAAAAAATGGAAGTTATCAAAATGCTAATATAGCTTATCGAGAATCAGATTTTTATGACTTCATTTTTTTTACTCTGAAGAGTAAGATTGGATGAGTTTTATACGCTTGTCAGGACACGAGAATGTGCATCTAGAAATTCTTTCAATAATATTTAAACTATAAAGTCATTAACTCTTTGTGCTCCAAATTATTTATCACAAACAGCAGTGATTAAATATTTCATTCTTAATTTAATCTAATTGAATTTAACGTGCAATGATCGATTTGTATTAGATTGCATCTACGCGACAATTATTACCATAAAGAAAAAAATAAGCAAAAATTCATTTGAATTGGAAAAATTCATCGAGATTTAAAAAATATATCATGTTGGTCGTAATCAAATACCGTTTCGAATGTTTGGTAAACAATGCGGAGGATTGCTGCGAAGCGATTGCGTCGAATCCATATCTCGATATAGAATGGCAAAAGTTTAACCTTTCGTTGCACATATTTTTCTGTTGAACATATATAATTTAATGAATTTTAGAGGTTTTTGGGGTTGCTATTATAATTGCAAATCTAAAATCAAAATTTAATAAATCAATATGATCCGGATATGACAGTTTTTAAATTGAAAAAATTAACTAAGGCTTATTTACGTACAAAATTTTAAACGTAAGAGTTTTTTAGACTTCTTCTATTTTAAATCTGCAGTGAAAATTTGAAAATACAAACTGGCGGATCCAATATCAAAGAAATTTTTGCTACTTTTTAACGAAAAAGTCTAATATAAATAAATAAAAAATATATATATAGATATACGCAAATATAAATTAAACCTAAATAATTTTTCAAAATTCTTACAAGAGGATCTTGCAAAGTGTCAAATTCTGCTTGTATTAAAATTTTATTTTAAAAGTGATAGATAAATTTAGAAATTTTATCAGTCGGAGAGCCGATAAAAAAGTGGAAAAATAATTACACTGAGAAAAAAATTTTCTGCATTTTAATAAATATTAGTTTGCATACAACTGTGACATTATTTATTAAAATGAAGGAAAATTTCCTTTTTATTAGTGTTTGTGTATTTACTGAGAAAAAAAATATACTAATATACTAATAAAAAGTATACTAATAAAAAATATACTAATAAAAAGAAAAATTTCCCTTATTTTAGTAAATAGAGTCACAGTTGTATGCAAACTAATATTTACTAAAATGCAGAAAATTTTTTTCTCAGTGTACATATTTATGTTGTTTATTACAAGACTTAAGAACATAACGATACCAAATAAGTTACACAAATCAATTATAAAATACATATAAAAACAGAAAAACTGCGAAGAAATAGGTGTCTTCAAATGAGAGACATCAGCATCGGTGCCTCTCCCTCTTGTACTTAAAAAGAGCAATGTAAAGGGGTTTAAAGTGCAATAAAAATTTAGGTGGCCACGGCAATACAGCAGGCTGGTTTCAAGAGAGTGAAAAGGGGCTACAAGCCCCTAAGCGTGGACAACCTTGTGCCGTTATATGAAATTAAGAATCCCGCAAATCCGGCGAGCAAGGATCCGACGGATCCCTTCTTCAAGTATCAGTGGTATCTGAAGAACGTCGGGCAGAACGGCGGTAAACCGAAGCTGGATCTGAACGTCGAGGCTGCCTGGGCTCAGGGCGTAACGGGGAAGAACGTGACGACAGCTATAATGGACGACGGTACGTGACGAGGAAACGTCTTGTTTCGTTCCTTCTTATTCTTTTTTTTTCTTTTCTTTTCTCGGACGAATCAAAATCAGCGAGCTGGGGGACTATTTCAAAGTCAAAACGGCGTTAAATTACACGCACTCTCGAGTGCAGGAAACTGGCGAGGAAGCTTTGAATCGATATCGCGCCGAGAGGGTAGCGCGAGAGTTACGCAACGCTCGCACTCCCGTTTCACCGGAGAGATCCGGAGAGACGTATTTTCCGAGCGTCTCCGTCGTAACTGTATTCGACGAACGGTATAATAAGATTGTCCAACCGAGTCCTTTTAATGCCGACCGCTTTTCATTAACGAAGAAAGCGAAATTGCCACTTTGCCTTTGTCCTCCTACGGCCTTATTGCTTTCTTTTTCGCGGAGCTTGGAACTTATTTACGTTACACGTCACACGTGGCACGGCGCATAACATCACGCGTCACGCCGTAACGCCGACACAAAATCCATATGTATTAATAATTCTATTGTTCTATTACAGGTGTTGACTACATGCATCCGGATCTTAAATATAATTACGTAAGTATATTCTTTATGGCATTAGTATTTCAGTGCGAAGGGTTTCTCATTTTCTACCAAGAATTCATTTTAAATCAAGTCTGAAGTCCAACACTTTATTCAAAGAGAACAATTGCATTGAAGCCAATATAGTGTTTTAATAAAAGTCTTCTTTGCAACTGCATGCTATTTTATTTTCAGTTTTATTTTACGAACACGACGAACTCTTCTTGCGCCAATTTAACGGAAGTTAATTGCATCAATTCGATAATTAATCATTTTAAAACAATGACGATGAAAATTTCGTGAAAGCTGCAACGCGTAATGAAGACAAAGCTAATGCATAATATTTCCGCCACGATAAATCTGCGAAAATAATTTAATATAATTAATAATGCAGTACGTTAAATATATTAACAAATAGAATTACGCGAATATTGTCGTCATACTTTCGCATGGATGCCTGCATTCTTGGCGTATCTCCCATGGTAGTATGTCAGAAATTCCAAATCCCCGAGCACAAGCCTTTGAATGCGGGTAGAGCGGAGACAAAAGAAAACTAATCTCTTACAGTATTCGTGCGATAGAAAAAAATCTGAAATATAAAAATAAAGGCTCACGAGATTAAAAATCAATTACAGACAAGGAGCATCGAGCCGTAACAAGGTGTTAATGTTCATGTATTCTATATTAATTAAAAATTACAGACGTTTTGGACCAATATAGGTTCATCCTCAGTGTCGTACAATTAACGCAGTTTGTTAAATTCGGATTTCAATAACATTAAAATACGTTAAAAATTATTCAAAACTAAGAGAGAGATTAGCGCAAAAGTTCGTTGAATTCGGAGTACGCCATCCTGTAAAATTGTGATTTAATGTAACTAAGTTAATTCGGTGTGTTAAAAGACAATAATTTAAAATTAATACGTATATTGAAGTTCGTTTCGTTCTGTCGTGAGATAATTTGTAGGGTCGGCATTATCGATGATGTGTTCTATTACAATGATATGACAAAATACTCGGCGGCGAGAGAACGAAACCGTATATATAGACAAAAGGAAAGGAAAGGAAGGAGAAAAAGAGGGAAGGTAGTGAATGGCACGAGATAACAGAAGGGGAACCAGAATTTTTATTTATGTCCAATCTATGTTCTTTGACTCTGGTTTTCAATTGCCTTTTACTTTGGCCTACATAAGTTACCTCACAATCTCTGCAGGGTTTTATATACAATGTTACTGTGGGCTAGCTTATCGAGATTGTCCTTGCCCATTTTAATAAATCTTTTTAGAGGATGTGCAACAGAAAAAGCAATCTCTGCATCTTTGACAAACCTTTTGAATTTCTCTGACGTGACGTATTTCTTTGACGTAGGGAACGGTGAAGTACTTTATGTTGCTTGATTCAAATGAAAAATCAACCCTTCTCCTTTTCAGAAAGAATTGTGTTAGTCTATTTTTTATAGTAGAGAAAATGACGGTAAAGGATAACCATTTTCTAAGAGCATCTGAATAATTAAATTAAAGTACTTTATGTGATATTGCGGATGTGAAATCGACAAAATCTTGTCAACTAGTCCAAAAATAACGCCCTGTTTATGGGAGATTGGATGATGTGAGTGGTAGTTTAGGTATTTCCCCGAGAAGATGGGCTTATGGTATACCAATCAAAAATGAATTTTCCGTCTCTCACCATCACCGTGACATCGAGGAAATCAAGTCTATTGTTTTCACTAATTTCCATTGTAAACTGTAATCTCTTGTGCAGTGAATTAAACATTTCTAAAATACGTTCAAAGAATTTAGATGGAGCTGCCATATAATATCGTCCACGTATCTGCGGAAAAGCCTAACGTAAAAAGGTAACAAATTAATCGCCTTTTCCTCTATGTCCTGCAGTGTAATGTCAGCAATAATTAGTGAAAGAGGAGAACCCATAGGAGAGCCAAAAATCTGTTTATATATACAGTTGTTAAAAACAAAAAAAGTAGAGTTTAACATTAAACGAATGCTTAATAGAAATTCGTCTTTCGGTATGTGGGTTATTCCTTCACAATACAGTCCCATCTTTTTTCGATGCTAATTTTATAGGAACATTGGTAAATAGAGAAACCACAAAATCTGAAATTATTTCTCGATACAAAAGTCAACGGTTAATACAAAGCGTTATTGTTAAGCTATCTTTTTATAGCTGTTTTCGTAATTAAAATCAGCGCGTCACGCGTGATTCGATAGTTTGTGGTATCGATTTCGATTATCTTAAGCCCTAAGCGGTAATATGCACACGGTAATATGCACACTGTAAATATGCCACTACACCGATGAATTAATATTAATCATAGGTCCGGACTAAAGTCGACGTTTCCTTTCAGAATGCCAAAGCTTCTTACGACTTCAGCAGTAACGACCCTTATCCTTACCCGAGGTACACCGACGACTGGTTTAACAGGTAAGGGTACAGGTATCTTTATATTTAAAGAAGGCATTACGTACTCTCGAGGGAGAATAGAACGAGGGAAAGTTAATCAAGCTGGAATCAAAGAAGTAGATAAACGGAGTCGAGCGGGTGAGGGTGGAGCGAGCGCGGCTCTTAACCGAGGGCGTGGAGACAAAGGCACTTGTGTTTGAAAGTAAAACAAAGGCGCGTCCTATAATACATCCGCGCGCCGTGAATCGCTTGGTGAACTTCCGCGCCGTAATAACCAGAACGAGAGAGAGCCTAAAGCTTTGCGGTCTTTTGTTCACGGGCAGCCACGGCACGAGGTGTGCCGGGGAGGTCGCGGCCGCGCGCGACAACGGGGTGTGCGGCGTCGGGGTGGCGTACGATTCGAAGATCGCCGGGATACGGATGCTGGACCAGCCGTACATGACCGATCTGATTGAGGCGAACAGTATGGGCCATGAGCCCGATCTCATAGACATCTATAGCGCCTCCTGGGGACCCACGGACGACGGAAAGACGGTGGATGGGCCGCGTAACGCGACCATGAGGGCCATCGTTCGTGGCGTTAATGAGGTACGGCCTGCGTAATTACTCCTACGCTAGAGACCATTAAGCAAAATTGATAGAATCACTGATACTTTTAACAGTAAAATAGTGATAGTGAAAGCTTTTTGTTATCAATTCTTGTGTCAAATAAAGTCAGAAAAACTTGTCGAAAAAATGTACCGGCGCTAATAGCGATTGTCGCGAATAATGAAGATTACTCTTCCATTCATTCCAATTTTTTTTCAATTTTAAATTTAATGACACGAGCTTAATAATTTGACGGTCCAATATTATTCACGGAGAAATGTGAAAATAATGAAGTTTAATTTTCAGTTTCTTTTGAATGCACTGAAAAAAAAGGACAAACGCCTACGCTTGATAACAGCAAAGCTATATACAGGCCAATCTCCGAGCAAACAATAAAAAGATCAGAAAAAATATAATTTCCGCCAGTGATTAAAGACTAAAAATATTCCTTTATTATAACAATAAAAAGATGTTGGTTTAATGTAAATAATAATAATTTATTAGATAGTGGGAATATAACAGTCGTTTACGTTTCGACTTTCTTAATCTTCATCAGAGAACATGTTTGGTCAAACCGATAAAATTGCATTACAAGTAATATAAAAAAATTAAGCAGTAATATAAAATTAATCTCATAAATTAGTTTGATCAAACATGTTTTAATAAAGACTTTATAATAAGTAAGGCAAAACATAAACGATTGTTATTTCTACTATTTAATAAATTATTATTATTTACATTGAACCAACATTATTTTATTGTTTGCTCGAAGATTGGCCGTATGACTTGTGTATTTAGAAAATAAAAGATCGCGTTATTTCCGCCCATTCATATCGCTCGTTTGCTCACGTATTCCCTTCAGGGCAGAAACGGATTGGGCAATATCTACGTCTGGGCGTCCGGGGACGGTGGAGAGGAGGACGACTGTAACTGTGACGGATACGCCGCGAGTATGTGGACCATCAGTATCAACAGTGCCATCAACGACGGCCAAAACGCCCATTACGACGAGAGCTGCTCCAGCACCCTGGCTTCCACATTTAGCAACGGTGCCAAGGACCCTAACACGGGGGTGGTAAGTAGATGCTGTAGGGATCGAGAAGAGAATTACCTACAAAAGAATTTTCTTGTCCCTTTGGGGAGGCGATTTTATTTGAAGAGAGAAATGTTGTTATGTCATAAATGTTTTATTTATCGCTGAAGAAAATGCGTATTCTGGGGCAGAAACTTCGCAGCGACATCTCTTTTTTTATGTTGAATTATTTTTAAAAAGATGAGAATATCTCTCTTTTTATTTCGTTGTTATGTTTTCTTTTACAGGCTACCACAGATCTGTATGGAAAATGCACGACAACTCACAGCGGGACGTCCGCCGCAGCACCGGAAGCCGCGGGAGTGTTCGCGCTTGCTCTTGAAGCCAAGTGAGTGTACCTATTCGATTTTTCTCAGCGTATTTTTATTAACGCCGGCGTAGTGTGTATCTAATTTAATATTCAATTATTCCATTGAATATGAAAGACCGTATGTGCGTAAAGACATTCTACTTATTTTAACGTTCTCTTATATTAATATTATTTACATTCGATAACCATTTGCGCAAATTCACTGCGTAAATCTTAGAAAAATTTTATGCGGATACCGTCAATCTATTACGTGATATAGACTAACAAAAATTTTCTTCTGACATCGATAATTTTGCGCTGCAAGTTGTAAGAGCTTTTGTTTCCAGCCCGCAACTGACCTGGAGAGACATTCAGCACTTGACCGTCCTAACTTCAAAAAGAAATTCTCTGTTCGACGCGAAGGACAGATTTCATTGGACCATGAACGGCGTTGGGCTCGAGTTCAATCATCTTTTCGGATACGGCGTCTTGGATGCGGGCGCTATGGTAGCCCTAGCTAAAAATTGGAAGACGGTACCGCCGAGATATCACTGCGAAGCTGGTTCCACATTCGAAACGCAGTAAGTAACCGTTTTTTGGAAAGATTGACGATCAGGAGCAATCTGAATGAAATGATCAAGTGATTAGAGTGATACAGGCGCCGTTAGCGAGGGTGAGGGAGGCGAGGAAGACTTGTCTCCCCCATTTTTTCGCAAATCTATGATAATTTCCGATAAATTAAAGTAATGTTGACATGTGTAATCTGAAAACCCTAACAAGTTAAACTTTAAACTGTACTTTTATTATATATTATATTTTTTTTTTTAGTTTTCAAAGTCCCTCCAAAAATGTATAGCTAACAGTGCCTGAAGGTGATAAACCGAATGTTATCGCGATGTTAATCATTTACGTTTTAACTAGCTTACTTATAGTCTTCCTCAAAACATGTTTGGTCAAACAAATTTATGAGATTAATTTTATATTACTGCTTAATTTTTTTGTATTGTTTGTAATGTAATTTTATCGGTTTGACCAAACATGTTCTGATGAAGATTAATCCGTCGTTTACGTCGGATTCGACGTAAACGACGGATTCTCTAAGCAATTTATTCCGACTTCTTCCTCGACACTCGACTCGTGTTGTCAATCCGTTTCCTCAACCCGTTTTATCTTCCAGGAAAGTCACGAGCGATCGATCTATTCTCGTGAAGATTAAAACCGACGCGTGCGCTGGCACGGAGTACGCCGTTAATTATTTAGAGCACGTGCAAGCCGTCATTTCCGTAAATGCAACTCGGCGCGGCGATCTCGAGCTCTTCCTCACGTCCCCGATGGGTACCAGGTACGACAAACGCCATATTCTTGATCTGAATTTTTTATCAGGATAAAATGGATAAAATTGACTTAGCTCGTTTGTTGCAAACTATAAATTGAATATGCCTGATATACGAGCCTAAGATGTATTATGTACACATATATATATGATAGCTTCAAAGTTTTCTTTCTTTCTCTCTCACTCTCATGTGCGGTTCAACCTTCCACACGCGCTTCGTCCTTCGATCAATTCGCAATTACCAAGCACCATACTTTTTCCCCCTTAATAAGTTTATCTCCCTTCTTAACTCATTTCTAGCCACTGTTACACCAAGAACTTTGAAAATTGTTTTAGTTGAGATGAGAATGTCAGTCTTATATGACCTGAAAATAAAGTTTGAACTCTCGATAATATATTTATGTGGTCAAAGTAGCAAATTTGATTTCGCATCTGTGCGTGCAATGGTGGCCAGATGAAAAAAGGTTAAAAATGGACCTTTTTAATAACAGGTATTACAAATGTTTGAAATAATTTAAAAAATCATATGATATTTGTCAGACGACGAAACTAACACAAATCATACTAAATTGAGCGGTCAAGTAGACTTACCTGCAAGAAATCTTACCAATAGTGCATTTTTTCACCAGCATTGTCCAGAGAACTGAAAAATCGGAAAATTTTCTCTTTGCACGAAAACATTATTGGAAATTCCAAAATAGCAAGCCCATAACAGAAGGCATCAAATAATTCCATCAATTTTGGGTAGCGACCAGAAATGGGTTAATTTTTTATCTCATGAGTCCGATATAAATAAATTTCCATAATTTTCAGATCTATGATCTTAAGCCGCAGAGTAAACGATGACGATCACAGAGATGGATTCACGAAGTGGCCATTCATGACGACGCACACATGGGGAGAGTATCCCCAGGGAACTTGGTTGCTGGAGGTAAAAGAGAATATTAAAAAAGTGTTGATTTTTTGGCCTCCAAGTGTAAAGTGAATAAACCTTGAAAAATCATTGTTTGAGTCCTCAAATGACAGGAAATAATAATCATTTGTCCGAGAAGTAGTGGGAACATTGCTAGAATGACTTAAATATAGTAAAAAAATAAGCTGGATAAAGTTTGGAATTTTATCCAGCCAAAGGAGAAATAGGCCAAGGCATTTTTAAAAGATCGCTCTAAGAAAGTTCCAAATTTCATCCATTTTGTTTTTTTTTAACTATATTTAAGTCGTATTTTACGACTATACCACTATACATTTTATGTAGATTTCGTACAATTATTTTGAAAGGAATGTGATGTACACATGCACTTCTCCTAATGTCACACATAGAAGTGCCTAGTTGCTACGTGTGGGAGAAAACCAAGAAGTTAACGTCTTTTGAAAAACGAAGTATTGGAATTTCAATTGTAGTCAGGAGGACTTGAACCCGAGTCCTCGCGGTTACGAGTCTGACACTTGCCACTAGACCACACTGCCCGCCCAGATTAAGTCACCACTTCTCGGACAAATGATTATTATCTCCTGTCATTTGAGGACCCAAACAATAATTAATTTTTCAAGGTCCATTCACTTTACACTCGGTGGCCAAAATCGATACTTTTTTAACATCCTTCTTTCGTTTGCCCGTGTTCCTTATTTGAATTTCATTACGTGTTCTTCTCCTCTCGCCTAGCACACTCGCGGGAGTATAACTCGATCTGAACATCAGGCTCTTTTAGGTAAGCTTCAACACTCAGACGCCTCAACACGGATGGCTGAAAGAATGGACGCTGATGCTTCACGGTACCAGAGAACCACCATACACGGGACTATCGACGGCGGATCCTCACTCCAAACTAGCGATTGTCAAGAAGGCCCACGAGGAGCGATTCAGCGCGATCTAACGATATCGATGACCACGGTCCACGCGATTATCGCCGATTTCAGCGAAGAAAATAGGAATAATCCGATCGGAAGATGTTTGCGCGAGCGTTCTCTCTCTGCTTTCCTGATTTCGCGTCGCGCGGCAGGAGTAATGTACCTCAATTTATTTCAGATTTTGGTTTTGCGCGCCGATCGCATCGCCCGTGCCAATCTATCGCCATTTGTTATTCTCGCGTTTTGGTTTATATTCGCATTCGAATCATCGCAGAAAAGTCAATCCCGGCACTTTTCATTATAGCCGTGCGTTTGCCGTATCTCTATTATAATTATAGTGTCACCTATAATCACATATCATGCCGTTTATAACAAAGCTTGTATCGTTAAGAATTTGTATCTTTTATACAATTTTCAGCACTTTAACTTGTTTTCTAAAGGCCCTATTATCGAAAAAGAAAAGTTAAATCAACAAACTTTATTAAAGAACAGTTTGTTTGCATCTCTGAGAAATTCTGATAAAAGAAATAGATTTCTCATAAAATTATATGTTTATTACTTATATTGTATCATATTTTTACGCGTCTTTTACGATCTTTGAAGTTCTTCATTTTAATGTAGACAGGTGCGAAAAGCACCCAGCAGAAAGAATTGATAAAAAATTTTAATTTATTGTGTCCGGACAGTCATGGATATTAAAAAATATGATCCAGAATATTATAATCTCTATTAAAAATCTATCCGATATTTATGACTTGTTATTTTTAATTAGTATTTATTGTTATTATTGTTATTAGCGCTAAGCTTCCGACCGACGCAATTACCAAGGAGTATTATTTTGCTAAAATTGTGTCCGCGCGTTGACAGCTTTCCGAAAAGTTTTCAAGTCGACGATCGAAACTTGACGATAGGGGAACAAGATGACAAGAAAGGAAATTTACTATGTATTACTCAAATAGCGGAATAAAAATTACTCTTCTGACGGAGCGGTGAACTCGAAGCATTTAGCGTTTTAATGAACGTTATCGAATCGATAGCGTCTGCAGCGAAAGAGTATTCCGGGAACAAGTAATATTCGTGCAATCATCGTCGTCCTCGCAGCCCGATAATTCGGGTCCACCTTATATAGCGATAAAATTTTAATTTTTTTTTTCTATTTTTAACCCTTAAATGCCACACCTCTCAAGAATCTCGTAAGTTCACTGAGGGGTCTAAAAGACCCCAGCATGAAAAATGTCTCCTTACTCATTGATTTTTTTATCTTTAGTTATGACAATTTTTTTCAATGTTGTTCAAAGTCTAGAGAAGAGTATAAAATGCTAATATTGTTCAAATTTCAATTTCGACATAGTATAAAAAATTAAGTAAACTGAGTACTGCTAAGTGTACACATGGGTAGGTCAATCACTCAACTATCATCAATGGGAGCATGAGCTCCATTTTTGGCAAGAACATTTGAAAACATTTCATTCTAAAGGGTCTGGGGTCCGTTGGACCCTACTGGTCATTTAAGGGTTAATAGAAAATTCAACGACGCAGGCGGGTCGAGTTAATCAGAAAAGGAGCGACTATTTGCGAAATTATTTTTTAACGATGCCGCAAACTATACATGAGTCAACATCCGTTTCTTTTTCTTCCTTTTGTAGAATTATTACTCAATTTTGATAAATGTTTAGAATGTTTAGAATAGAGATCTGTAGAATAGGGGTCTGATGTATCCTTCTCTTCGCCCGCTTATATATAATTGATGCATGTCACGGAGTTTTATTTATTTGATAACGTTCTGGAGCAGCGTGCACAACGTGCCAGAGTGATTAAGAGTCTATATATTTTCATTTGTACAGTTTAACGGGAACGACAGGGGGACACGCGAGGACGTCCGTGAGGGACACGAGAACGCGAAATACGGATGCTACAAAATCCGCATGTGTAGATGATGTACCTTAGAATCGTAGCGAACAGAGAGTTTGAGCATTACATTAAATTATATGAATATAAATGCATATATAAATAAGGTATGTGTATATTATGTATGTATATGTGCGTGTAGGACATTCCGTCGCTGCACGTTAGTCACCGAAGGGCCCCTGCAGTGAACATAATGCCTCAAATTGGGACATAAGACGTCTTGAAGACATCCTAATAATGTCTTTAAGACATATGTCTCGATTTGGGACATGCGTGTTGTCTAGGGCGGCTTTCACCAGATAATTTCGTGATGGGTATCTCAATACGGAAATACCGGGGCTGCTATATTTTTTTTTAATAGGGAAGTGCGATTATAAAATTGGCCGAACGCTATATAAAGTTTGAGTTAAACTCTCGTCGCTTCCCGTTTAAGTAGCTTCGCGTATTGAGATCCTCGTCGTCGAATCATTCCAAAAAGTCCGTCAAGAAGCGACGTGATAACGGCCCGGGACACCCTATATAAACGTATACATATATCTTATATATATCTTATATACAGAGTGAGACGTCTAATTTCGCGACTTAGACGATCTCTGTTGTTCAAGGCACTTTTCGATAACCACAGAGATAAATTGAGTCACAAAGTCGAGAGTTGTCCCGCTCTGTATATTTTATATATGTACATCTCATTACATATATCTTGCAGTTGAAATGAATTTAATCAACTTTATTGTGTATGCGTTATAGGTGGACGAATAAAAGCTGTATTTTTTGGCTGGCATCGTTTTTATCTAGTGTACCTTCAATGCTATCAATTTAATACTACCTCCTTCCTTCCATTGTTTGTCTGTTTTCGGTGTGACGCTATGACGTTAAATTCACAAGGATAATTTCAATCAAATTAATGGACAGTTAATTCAACCGGTATAGTTATTTATAGGAAAATTTCAAACCATTCATTGTCCCTGATCTCCAATCTTGCTTTACAAATATCAAACAATAAAAATTAATAAAAAGATTATATTTATGTTACATAACGTAAAATAATATTAATAAATTAATCGATTAAGTTAATTGGAGCTTGCTCGAAGGTCATCATACGACATATACGAGGTAAAGTGCGATATATTTACCTATTAATTAAATTTTTATAATTAAGTTTTGATAATTAAATTTTGCGTAGTGAGAGAAAAGACGCAATTCGCGTTGCAGTATTTTATGCGTTGTGTTTGCCTTATAAAAATTTTGCACGCGAAAGAGTTCAGAAACGGAAAGAGATGCACGTAGAAGAAGAAAAAACAGTGTAGGAATTGCGGGGTTGGAAAGGAAGGGGTGGGAATAGGGTAGTTAGAGGGAGCGCGGGTGCCCGCTCCGTCCGAGTTCAGTCCGACCGTCCGCGTGTCACTGTGAACTCGGAGAACGAATATCGCAGTATATCGCGTTCGTAACCCATCACAGGCCGTACCCTTGAGATCGTGATAACGTCGCTGAAACGTCGATCCGCGTCGTCGAAACGTCGTCGATTAAATTTTGCACGGCGCGTCGAGCACGCCATGTGCACATCCCGCTCTTTCGAGTCTAACCGCTCGATCAGAAGTGAAGTTCGAAGAAACGCGGCGAGTTTGTGCGAAATTGCGAATTTCGATCGTCGCGTCCTGTCGTCCCTGAAAATTCACGTAAGTAAAATGTGACTTACGTAAAAGGTATTCGGTCTTTGGCTCCTAGGTTGATTTCAGCAAAAAACATTTTCAAATTTGACAAACAAAACTGAACACAGTTACAGAAACCATTTTTTACTTACTAAAGTCCATCAAATGCTACTCTTTTCCTATCTCAAAGATTTTTAATTTCTTCTTTTTAAAAATCTGATTTGAAATCAATAAATAATAACTTCAAATAGAATTTAACGAAATTTTTTGCAATGATATAACAAAAAAGTTTATTTTACTCCAGATTTTTTTATTGAGTTGAAATTACGAAAATGTTTTATTTTAATATATGTTTGTATAGAAGTTTTGCGGATATACAAAGTTGCAAAATCCCATCTTTAAAACATATCTTTAAGACGTCTTATGTCCCGATTTTGCACACGGTGCTGTCTGGGATGCGCTTTCGGGATATTCTGTACAAAGTTCTGTATAAAATATATATAAACTTTTTTTCTTCTTTATTCCGCCATATATGAAGTTTAGAAAAAGAAAAACGTAACGATGCTCTTCAGGCGATAATTCGCGGTCTTTGAAAGCGCGCCAATGAAGGTGGCGAGACGAGGGCGCGATTTCAAATCTGATGGAAATTTTCCCGTGCAATTTCAGCCTCGCGACAAGCCGCTCGAGGAGTTGACGCTCACTCGGTGAGAGCTGGTGCCGTGCATTCTCATCGCTCAATCGACATCATCCTCGTGCCTGCGGGGATCGACAGGCCGCCCGGGGGGCGCGGAACGACGATCGGCCTCGACGCGGGCTCGGGATTTAGGGACAGGACGTACGGCGGAACCCGGCAAATGTGGCTCTGTGCACGGTGAGCCAGGGTTACGGGGGCCGTGCGGTCCGCGGGGCCCGTGCTGGTGGTGGTGCTGGTGCTGGTGGCGGCGGTGGTGGTGGGAGTGGGGGTGGTGGCGGTGGGGGTGGAGGTGGTAGATTACGCGGCGACGCGAGCGCGCGGTTGCCCTTGAGCCCCCGCAATTTATGCGCCAGCGGGGCGGGCGCGCGCGGGGGGGCGCACGGCGCGACCGTGGCTACCAGCGGTATCGGGGGCACGGAGGAGGCCGCCGGTTCCGGGCTACCGGACGAGCCGATGGTGCACGTGGAGCGTTCGGCGCACCAGGGTACATGGATATGTTGCGTGCCCTGTTACTGGCTACGGAGGAGCAAAGCCGTGCACAAGGCGCTGCTCACCTTCGCTATGATGCTGGTCACCAGCCTGCTGGTCACCAGCCCGGTGCTCTTCCTTATCACGACCTTGCCAGAAGGGGAGCAGCCGCGCAAATGTGCGCCATTGGTGGGTGTCCTCTCCGTCTTTAACGATCGTCTCTTCTTCCGTATCCGCAATGCATAAAACGGGGCGAAAAAAGGAAAAAGTGCTTTCGCGAATGCGAGGCAGTTTCGGGGATTAAGTCTGGAATTCATCTTCCGATGCTGGAGACGTATGAAAAAAAGAATTCTATGCCGTGACTCGTCGCGTTTCGTTGACGCATATATGAATAAATACAACGTCATTATCGGGCTTCCGTAGCATCCCAGAAATTTGCGCGTTCAACGATATTATATCGACTTTTATTTTCTAACTCTATTTCGTTTTTAAATAAATTTCTGCTATTTAATAGAAGTTGTGCTGTTCGCAAAATATCTATAGTATATTCTTCATTCAAAGCTTTTCGAAATAGCACTTCTTCGCACAGAACTTACGCGCAAAGCTACTATCCATCCTCCCGTACTTATTTGCATACGTGACATCATGACGCGTAAAAATAGAAGGCGAATGCGAATCATACAAGAGCCTGTTAAAAAATTAAAAACATAAATCGCCACTGAGATTACAAGGAGACGTGCCCCGTGAGCTATAACGCACGAGATATACTTGCAAATGTGCGAAGAGCGTGCAAAGTGACGCGAATAAATAATTTTATTTATGCAGCCAGGAAGATTAGTAGTTGCTTGAAGTAATTTTCATCGATCGTAGCGTTTAACTTCGAGGTAAAAGTTGACGTGAGAAAAGTTGACGTTTAGCAACAAACGCGCCGGATTCCCGTAATCAGTGACTTGCCCTTGCGTCGCAAATTCGCCCTGATCTCTATAACGATCGAGTAACGAGGGAATTGTCACGAATTGAAAAGAGAGAAGGGGAGAATCGCTTACGGGGATGCTGGAGCCGCAGGCGAACTCGATCAGCGTCGATAAAGAAGTGCTCACCGATTCTTACACATACATACAGAGCGCCTGCTCTAGGGTTACCCGTTATACTGATTCGTACGTTTTTGGCTGAATTCGGGGAGACGCGTAACATGTGCATATGAAATTTTCAAATGAACTTTTCTCTTATACTAAAGTTCGCAGCTCATTTCTGCAAGCATAGGATTCTTCTTTATTGTAT